ATTCGTTGATGTTGTTTTCGAAAGTCTTGTAACAGTAATTTGTAGTCATGTTTTCTGACTGGTCTAAATTTTGTACCATAACTCATTAGTGTTTTTTAGTTGATGGTTTTGTATGATATTCAGGTTGCCAGTAATTATTATGTGCTGGTGATGAGAATCTACGTAATTGCTGTAAAATTGGTGTCTTACAATGTCATTCTGCAGTTTCATCTATTTCATGGTGGTTAGTAAGCAAGTTGCTTAAGGTCCTTTGATATTTAAATGCAATCATTGGTATTTTGTCAACTGCGGGGAAGTAATCTTTACAATCTCTGATGATTCTTGAGAAATGAATATTGTCAAACTGCGGATGCAGAAAATTGACTTTAAAATAAATTTTGCGTTTGAGTGAGACTATTAGAGAGTCTGAAAAGACTAAAATCAAGAATCATGTCTTTAATGATTTGTATGTCGTCGTAGCTTTCTTGAATGAATTTTTTTAGTTTGATAAGGAATTTATTAGTACAGGAGTGTAACCAGTTGAGAAGTTTCTTGGGAAAGCAGTCTGAGTCAAAAAAACATTTCAATTGTTTTTTTCAATGCAAGTGTATCCAAAGCGGATAAAAATCTCGCATTACTTTTTATTTTGCTTCCCTCTTTTTCCCTCTCTGCGTTTGATGCTGTAGAGTTTAAATTGGCTGAAAATAGACTTCTTAGAAGTATCTCTATGACTATGTATATAAGTATTAAGGTCCATATGGATAAAGTGAACGTTGTTTTAGTATATAGAGAGATTCCTGAAAAATTCGTGTTTTGTGATTGGGTATTATATCTAGTACCTGAAGTTGAATAGAGTTGAAGTCATGGTGTTTAAAGTGTTCTAATTCTGCTGTATTAAGTTGTGATGGTGTACTTATTTTAATGCTATTTTTTTGTGCGTTGAATTTTTTGATTTGAGCTCTATGGTTATTGATTCGAAAGTTAAGATTGTTTTTAGTCTGTCCTATATATTTAATATGTCAAGTACCGCATGTAATCACGTAAATACAGTTAAATGTTTTTCATAGAAATTGTTTTTGGGTTTACCTGTAGTAGGCATGGCGTTAAATTTTCAAGTTTGTGATCTAGTGGAATGACATTTAGTGATTTCAATATGAGTTAAACTAGCAAGATATAAAAGTAAGGAGGCTGCTAACCTTCAATACAGTAAAGTTTTTGTATAAGAACTTTAAAACTTAAAAAGGATGGAGATAATAAATTTAAACAAATTAAATTTTTATATATAAATTGAAACAAATGAAATTTAAATTTTAACAAACACGTATAAAAGTAAAAAGCAAATTTAAAGCCCCCCAAAAAAATGTGTAAACATATAAAAGATTTAATTCTCGAACTAATCTACAATATCATTTAAATTCAGAAGCATAAGCAAATCAAGTGCAAAAGCAATCCATGAAAATAAATTCACTAATTTAGCAAATTAAAATTAATCCAAACAATTTTTTTAAAAATGCATAAGTGAATGACTGTTGAGCAGGCAGGAGACAGACTTATCAAGGGGAAGTTGCCTCCAAACCTAACTCTTCAATCATTCAATTCGTGGTTCGTCATTCATGCAGGCAAGGGTAAAAGTCAAAACCAAAAGTAAAAAGTGAAGAATGTCCAAAAAGAAATATCAATAAAGTGGTACCCTTAGAAATTAGCATTTAAGAATTAAAGTTCTTAAAGGAAAATACTAATGAAGTCTTTTCAGAAACAAGCAAGTAAAGTCAAGTATTAAATTAAACTTAAAAAAAAAAATAATAATATATAATAATTTTTTAAAAAAACTAATTTTTTATAAAAAAAATAATTTAGAAACTAATATTTTAGAAACCCTTGTCTACAGAAACCTCCCCTCCCCGACACGAATATGCATATCAATAAAATGAAACTAAAAAAAGAATTAGACATAATCCATATAAACCAATAAGAAACAAAAAGAACTAATTCACAATTTTTAAAAAACAAATATATACTTAAAAATATAATTTCATATCATGGAGATAGAATCATAGAAAATACTTAAATACTACATAAAAAATTTTAAAAAATACTTAAAGCAAGTAAATAGTAAGTTTTAATTCTAACTTACCTACTAAATGAGCGTTGGGGTCTGCAAAAGTGTTTTAAAAGAGAACTAAGTGTGTTCTTCAAATTAATTATATAGATGGTGCTTATGTAGGTAAAGTTGAGTGCCAAGCTGCTATCTTAAAAATTTTTTGCAAACATTAATATTAAAATACAGTCAAAAGTCGTTAATTCAGACAGCCATAATCCGGACCTCAAAGCTAAAATCTTTCTGTGCATGCGCCGCGTTGACGCATGCGCATAGGCGTTTTACGCGTGCGCGCAAGACATTTACGACTGCGCATATGCGTCTGCGCAAGCGCAGAATACGTTTTCGCGTGCACGTTTAATGTATAACGGACAGTATAAGCTAAAATTATCTAATTATCTATTTCAGTTAATGTTGATGATTGCGTTGTTCCTTAATCTTCGAATTGGATCCGTCTTATTATTTTTTGCAGACTGTAAGAGCAATTTTATAAAAGTAAGCTTGAACTTTCCATTATGTCAAATAGAATTCCCGACGCTGGAGCTCCCAAAGGATCTAGAAAATGAAAGTATGTTTCGATGTCCATCAAACAAAAAACGAATTGCTACAAAAAATGGATAAAGGCATATCCTTTGTTTATCTAACCGTTCCGAAATCTGTTTCACGGTGCTCTGCGGGGATGGGGGGGGGCGTCGCGCAATGAACTTGAACTTCATCTGTCAGCACTATCGTTATCTTCAGGGCAGATGTTTTTATTTTATTTGGCTTTTAATTCCTTACTAAATGTAGTATTTAATCTCGATGTACTTCTTTGATATGATTTAAATCAAATTCCTCGTCATTATAAATATCACGAATACAAATCAAATAGTTTTCTGGTTGCAATTTTCTAATTTCGACTATGCGTACGGTATGCTTTATGCATGCGCGCGTTGAAAGAAATGTTTAATAAAGTAAACAAATAAATATTAAGCTTCTTTTTTTTTGTAAATTTTGATACCCTTTAGATCATAATTGCTCATTATTTTATAAATTACAGTTTCATATTTTTAATTTTATAATTTCTGCATGCCATCTTACCCGATTTAAACTGATGATCTATAATCCGGAAAAATCGATAATCCGGAATCGCCGAAGTCCCGATGAGTCCGGATTAAAGACTTTTGACTGTATAAATAAATCTATAAAAAACTAAAAATTAAAAATCCTAAAGGTATGTAATTCAAGGTTTAATTTTAACGATAAATTATTTAGGGAGTAAGCCAATCTAGAGAGGTAAGTTAGCTTGAAGTAAAATAGAGTTAAGTGGTATTGCGAATTAATAAATGTAAACTGTTTGTAATGTGAAATGTGTGTTCTGTTGAAAAATTATATATACACACACACATCCTCTTACGTGGCCTGGCAAGCTCTTTTTTTTATATTCTTACATATTGGTAAATTGTGCATTTTTTGCTTTATACAGTCAAAAGTCGTTAATTCGGACACCCATAATCCGGAATGATATATAATCCGGACCTCAAAGCTAAAAACTTTCTGTGCATGCGCTGCGTTGACACATGCGCATAGGCGTTTACGCGTGCGCATAAGACCTTTTACGACTGCGCATATGCGTGTGTGCAAGTGCAGAATACATTTTCGTGTGCGCGTTTTATGCATAGCGGCCGGTATAAGCTAAAATTATCTAATTATCTATTTCAGTTAATGTTGATGATTGCGTTTTTCCTTAATCTTCGAATTGGATCCGGCTTATTATTTTTTTGCAGACTGTAAGAGCAATACTATAAAAGTAAACTTGAACTTTCCATTATGTCAAAGAGAATTTCCGATTCTGGAGCTCCCAAAGGATCGTACAAAACGAAATGTTTCGATGTCCATCAAACAAAAAGTGGAATTGCTGCAAAAAATGGATACAGACATGAAGAATGTGACAGAGAGGTTAGTGAAAACGAAAAAATTTCGATTGACAAGTTAGTCGGTATTCTCGGCACAGCAATTAACGGGACTTGAACAGCGGAACTTTGTAACTGAACAAGAAATTATGTCTGTTTATAGAATTAAAGATACAGTATTATCACATAAAACGAAGCAACTTAAACAACTTACATTGAAAGAAATGTTTAATAAAGTAAACAAATAAATATTAAGTTTTTTTTTTTTTTTTTTTTTTTTTTTGTAAATTATAGCAGACCTATATACAAAATTTCAACATTCTATGACAAACTGTTTTTCAGTTATGTCAGATACACACATATATACACACAGATGTCAAGAAAAAATCCCTTCTGAATCCATTTTAAATACAATGCAATCCATTTGGGAAAGAACAGTTCTTAATTCAATCCACAAGTACAGATGCTATGCAAAAAAAAAGGGGGGAGTCCAAATATGTTCAAGAGCGGTCAAAATGGATATTTTGATTGAAATGTGATGCCCAAAATTTTCCCGATTACAATACTTCCTCTACTTCGCACAAGGAAGTAAAAAATTAACAGCTTTATTATGGATGTTTCTTGATTACAATTGTTTGTTGTTTTATATTATTCTTAGTGTGCCACTATTTTGGAAAAACCTTCCCATCTTTGACACTTTGACATTTTAGTTCCCATCTTTGACATTTTGGTCCTTCCCATCTTTTGACACTTTTGGGGAAGAGCATGCAGATAATCGGAGAGTATCCTCTCTTTTAATGATAAAATAACAAACAACTAAATATAAGCAAAATAATCATCTTTTTCAATGATAAAATAACATACAAATAAATATAAGCAAAATAACAATAAATATTAGGATAATAAGTAAAATGAAAAATTTATTAATATTATAAAGTTAAATGTATTAAAACATTTGTGAAACAAGAATGAAAACAAAGAAAAATTGTTTATCTGTTTTCATATATCCTATTTAAAAAAAAAATACTTACTCTGTCAACAGTATCTCCATCATCAAGCAAACAGAATTTTAGACCTTTAAAAAGATCAGGTGCTACCGAGTTTTCACTCTCAGCCATAACTTAAAATCAAATTCTGCAAAGAAATATTAAACATTATTACCTTCATATTTTTAAAAATCTTACGATTAAAGCATATCATACTTTAATATTTGTATTCATATTATATTCATTATTTGTATTACCGTATTTATGCGAATCTAATGTGCATCCCCATTTTAAAACTTTAAATAATAAAAAAATTGGTTGTCGGCGAATGTAATGCGCATCAATGGTATGAGGAATTTATTGAATCTTATTTTATACAACAATGGATTTGTATATAAACTATCAATCAATGGTATGATAATTTTATTTAAATTTAGATACAGTCAAAAGTCGTTAATTCGGACACCCATAATCCGGAATGATCTATAATCCGGACCTCAAAGCTAAAAACTTTCTGCGCATGTGCCGCGTTGACACATGCGCATAGGCGTTTACGCATGCGCGCAAGACCTCTTACGACTGCGCATTTGCATGTGCGCAAGCGCAGAATACGTTTTCGCGTGCGCGTTTTATGTATAACGAACGGTATAAGCTAAAATTATCTAATTATCTATTTCAGTTAATGTTGATGATTGCGTTGTTCCTTAATTTTCGAATTGGATCCGGCTTATTATTTTTTGCAGACTGTAAGAGCAATACTATAAAAGTAAACTTGAACTTTCGATTATGTCAAATAGAATTTCCGAATCTGGAGCTCCCAAAGGATCGTACAAAACGAAAGTATGTTTCGATGTCCATCAAACAAAAAGTGAGTTGCTGCAAAAAATGGATAAAGACATGAAGAATGTGACAGAGAGGTTAGTGAAAACGAAAAAATTTCGATTGACAAGTTAGTCGGTATTCTCGGCACAGCAGTTAACGGGACTTGAATAGCGGAACTTTGTAACTGAACAAAAAATTATGTCTGTTTATAGATTTAAAGAGAAAGTATTATCACATAAAAAGAAGCAATTTAAACAACTTACATTGAAAGAAATGTTTAATAAAGTAAACAAATAAATATTAAGCTTTTTTTTTTTTGTTTGTAAATTTTGATACCCTTTAGATCATAATTGTTCTTTATTTCATAAATTACGGTTTCATATTTTTAATTTTAGAATTTCTGCATGCCATCTTACGCGATTAAACTGATGATCTATAATCCGGAAAAATCGATAATCCGGAATCGCCGAAGTCCCGACGAGTCCGGATTAACGACTTTTGACTGTACCATATTTTATACAACAATGGATTTATACATAAAGTAGCAGAACATAGAATTAACCTATTAGTGGGCTATTGTTATGTGAAACAATCATTGTTAATTAGCACTACCATATATACGGTACCTATCGTAAAATATGAACATGAAATAAATCGTAACATTTCTATCTAGCTACATTCTATCGTAACATTTCTATCTAGTTTCTACAATCAGTGATTAATAGTAAACGTCTTTATTCACTAATGTTTTCATCACTGGAATCCTCACAACTCTCTTCATCAGAAGCAGATTCATTTCTTCTTTCCCAATCATCATCATCCTCATCCTCGGCATTCTAGAGCATGTCATCTTCACTGCCATTCAATGAATTTGAAATGCAGCATTTCTTCAAAGATTTCACAATGATTGGTGCTTTGATGCTTTTCCAGGCAGCAGAAACCCAGTGTGCAACAATGTGCAGTGCAGCAAGCTTAGTTTTTCCTGTCAGGGTCAATTCACGGTTTGGCTCACAAAACCATTTTTCATACTCCGCCTGAACGTATCCCTTAAAATGTTTATTTATACTAACGTCTAGGGGTTGTAACACAGACATCATCCCTCCAGGAATGATAAGATCACTGCCTAGGCTGTGCAATTTTAGGGTGTCTTCCTTTGTGAGGGCCAGTGAATTTCTTTCTACTAGCTTTAGTTGCAAACAGTGCCAATTTCTGTTGCCGCCACAAGCGAACATTGCTCGCAGCTACGTTGAACTCTCTCCCTGCTTTTCTATTGAAATTTTTTTCAGCATAAAGAATTACTTTATGTTTGAAAGTAGCTTCATATGACATTCTTCTCTGTTTGCCATCCATTTCGTGACTATGTACTCTGCAGTTTGTATATTCTATGCAATGATGTGTCAACGATAAATGTAACGGTAAATGTAGTCGAGAAATACTGTAATCCATCGTTACGATTTAAATTTGGTTGACGTCATCAGCGACACTCGAATCTAATGCGCATCCCAATTTTGAATACTACATTTGGCCAAAAACGATGCGCATTAGATTCACATAAATACGGTATTATTTGTAGTGAGATGTAATACACACAGTATTTGAATCAGCAGTTAGTTCTGTTTAAAGGAACAACACAGATTATTAAAAACATTTAAGACGAATAGGAAACTGATAGCACTATTAAAAATTTTATGGAATCAACTTCAATACTTACTGCACTCAACTCTCAGTTTGCCAGAGTTGATTGATTACTAATAAATCTGCATATACAGTTTTTCTTTCACTGCACTCAACTCTCAGTTTGCCAGAGTTGATTACTAATAAATCTGCATATACAGTTTTGTTTCACTTTATAACATGTTAAGAATATAAGTAATTAAACTGACATTACCATAAAAAATTAAATATTTGAATTCTAGTTATGTGAACATACCAGTTTCAAGGTCAAACTATAAATCAGTAATGAATGAGAAAGAATGAATTTAGGAAATTAGATGGAGTGTTATCAGTTCTAACTAATGCATCTGCACATCTACTTGCAGATTTTGTTCTATGGAAAAATGAAAGTTTTAAGGTCTTATCGATGCCAGCTAATATATATCCAGAGTCTAGGGTCAAAACATGACTTAAACTTTCAGATAGTTTTGTAGCAGGAACATTTTTAAGTATATTTAGAAGAGGAATAAGGAGGAATAAAATGAATTAATGATTAAAATTTCATGGAAACTATTCAGGATTTCAAACTCTAAATGATAATGAGATCATTATCATCTCATCAAGATGGACAAGAAACTGAGAAAAATGACAACAGTTGTCACAGTAATAAACAAAGGTAATATAACATTAAAGCCTTTAAATATTTAGAAAGTGCTAAGAAGTGATTGTGGCAGAAGCTTGCTAGCGAATACGGACCAGATTAATTTTAAGAAATCTCATTTTTTGAAGAAGCGAATAGAATTCTTGGGTCGTGTTAATGAAGAAGGTGGACTTTTTACATCCACTTTAAAAACGAAAGCGGTCCTTAATTTTCCAGAGCCGACTAATTTGAAACCAATTCATAGTTTTTTTGGACTCGCCGGATATTTCAGGAAATTTATTCCAAAATATTCCATTATTGCTAAGCCTTTGAGCCATTATTGCCTCTTGAAAAAAGATCGTAAATTTTAATTTGACGAGGAGGAAAGAAATTCTTTCAATCGGTCATTATTAACTGAAAAGCCTGTCTTAGAAATCTATAACCCCAGTTACAAGACTGAATTGCATACTGCTTAGAGGGATATGGAGCATTTTTAATCCACAGGTCTCCAAACATAGACTAATATGACTACCTAAACTATTATCCTACCTAATATGATAATAGTTTCCACTCTAGCTATTTCATGAGTAAAAAGACCTTAGACGCGGAAAAGAAATACTCTAGTTACGAACTTGAAGCTCTAGCAATCATAGAAGCATTAAAGAAATTCTGTGTATACTTATTGGGAATTCATTTTAAAATTGTTACTGACTGTTCTGCATTTGAAAAGACTATGTCGAAATGTGACTTATCAACTCGTATTGCTTGTTGGGCTTTATTACTACAAGAATTTAATTATGTGATTGAGCATCGCTCTGGTGCTAGGATGGCTCATGTCGATGCCCTAAGTAGATCCCTCATTAATATTCTTTGTGTTTCAGTAGATAACATCTTACCAAAGTTAAAATCAGCCCGATAAGGATAACGAAATAAAAGCGATTAAAGAAATTAAATACTTGAAATTTCTAGTTATGAAGATTACTGCGACAGAAATGGAATTTTATTTAAATTTGTTGATGGTAAAGAATTAGTGGTTGTGCCTGAAAGTATGCAAATAGAAATAATAAGAAATGCTCATGAAAAAGCACATTTAGGAGTCAAATATACTGAGAAAAACATCGAGCAGTATTATTTTATCCCTAAACTAAGACAGAAAGTAGAAACTATCATATCAAATTGTGTTCATTGTATTCTTGTGAATTATAAGAGAGGAAAGAAAGAAGGTCTCCTACATTCATTACAGAAAGAAGATGTGCTATTAAAAACGCATCATTTAGATCACCTCAGACCTTTGAAGAGCACACTTTAAAACTATAAGTACATTTTAGTGTTTATTGATGCATTTACTAAATTTGTATGGATTTATCTGATAAAGTTCACAACATCTGCAGACACCATAGCAAAATTGGAGATACAAAAGGCTGTATTTGGCAGTCCTTCCCAAATAATTTCGGACAGAGGTACGGCATTCACCTCCAGTGAATTTGCCGATTACTGTTCTAAAGAAAACATTAAGCAGCATCTGATTACTACCGGCTTGCCTAGAGCCAATGGTCAAGTCAAAGTTATCAATCAGACTATCATATCAGTCCTTTCAAAGTTATCTTTAGAAAATCCGGCTCAGTGGTACAAATACACAAATGAACTGCAGCAGGATATTAACTCGGCGTACCAGCAAAGTATAGCTACCACACCCTTTGAATTGCTCTTTGGGACAAAAATGAATGCTAAAGGTATTGATCAGATTGAAATGATCGAAGCTGAATTTTAAGCGAATTTTGAAGCTAAAAGAGAAGAACTTACAAAGCAACAGCTGTTTAAAATTCAGGAAGAAAATAAGAAGACATACAATGTAAGGAGAAGAGAACCAAGACATTACAAAGTCGAAGATTTGGTAGCTATGAAAAGAACACAGTTTGGTCCACATTTCAAATTAAAACCAAAATATCTTGAACCGTACAGAATAACAAAAGTTAAAGAGGGAATACTTACGACGTAGTAAAAGAAGGAAGTCATGAAGGTCCCAACTGTGC